TATTAAATATCGATCCACCGATTCAATCGTGAATCCGATGACCTGAGACTTGGCCAACACCTATGCTGACGATAACGCCATAAAAATCCCACGGTATTATGCGCTTAATGTAAACAGTCATGCTTTCACGTCATGTGCTTATGGAAAAGGAAGACTGACCGAGTCAACGTTGGGGCATTTCCGTAGCAGTCTCACACGTCCCGTCCATCAAAAAGTAGGAAATGAAGAAAGGATGGAGAAGTCACTTCGAGTCAGTTCGCAGCAGCCGTGGAAGCTTCTTGGAAAGCAGGCGGTGGGGGCCTCGAACCACTTGGCGTCCGGAGTCAAATTTGACAAGGATCGGTGAGTCTATATGGCATTCCACGATTGGGAGGATCATTTGGACTCTCGTCCTCTTCCCCGCCGGATTCCTTGCACACACTATGCCCGTTCTCCGCCGGATTCCTTGCACACACTATGCCCGTTCTTATGCAGCATTTAACTTTAAAACTTCAGAGGAATGGTCAGGTATTCTTACTGATTACTCTGATTTAAAAATTTTAGGTGTCCAGCATACATGCATATAAATGAAGGAAAATTAAAATCTCGAACGAAAAAGTACATTTTCCTTGGGTATGCTTCTGGGATGAAAAGATACAGATGGTGTTCTGATCCCAAATATCCAAAATTTATAATTAGTAGAGATATTACTTTTGATAAATTATCTATGTTATCTTTTAAAGAGGATTCTACTAGTTGTACAAATGATAGTGCGCAGAAGCAGGTGGAGCTTGAGATTGATAGTTCAGATTCTTTTAAGTCGAACTCTTCTACTCAAAGAATGCCAGTAGGTGGTCCCGAGTCTACTAACGAAGTTAATCCAGAGGAAGAGCAATATTCCATAGCCAAGGATAGACCACGGAGAGATATTCGACCACCATAAAGGTATGCAAATTTGGTTGCATATGCTTTGTCTGTTGCAGAAGAAACAAGTGAAGTTGGTGAACCTACTTCCTACTCAGATGCAGTTTCTTATGATAATTCCGCTAAGTGGTTAATTGCGATGAATGAAGAAATTGAATCTCTCAATCAGAATAGAACTTAGGATCTTGTGAAGTCGCCTTCGGGTAAGAAATTTGTTGGATACAAATGGGATATCATTGCTGAGGGAAAGGTCCTTATTCAGAAAATTCATACGAAGGACAATCCAGCTGATATGTTTACGAAGCCTCTTCAGTTTGGCAAGTCCCATAGTCCCACATCGGGAAAACCAAGTTTGTTATCTCATATTGGAACTATAAATAAGGGTCTGGGCTTTGAAGTCAAATGCACCACAAGTAGCACCACAAGAGGAACCACAAGAAAAACCTAAGTGTTAGTTTTGGGTTTAAGTCCACACTTAGTTAAATAGTTTGGACTTATAGTTTGAGTTTTTCTAGTTTAGTATTTTTGGGTGTTTTATGGCCTAGGAACATCTTCCTAAGGCATTTATAATAGTCATTTTTATAGTAGTTCGGTCACGTAAATATAGTGTTCTTGTCGCTTTTATCTTTTCCGCTTTATTGTCTTTGTTGGGTTGCAAAAATTATCTTGTGATAAATTTCTTAGGATTAACTCTAACAGCCTCTCCTATCTCGCGATCAGCAATTCTGAATCGTATGGGACCGTACCTGCCGGGTTTGGGAACTTGACTAACTCTAACAGCCTCTCCTATCTCGCGATCAGCAATTCTGAATCGTATGGGACCGTACCTGCCTGGTTTGGGAACTTGACTCGTCTCACGCAGCTCGACCTTAGCGGCAACTCGCTTTCCGGTTCCATACCTGTCGATCTCTGGAGTTTGGCTAGTCTAACCATACTTGATCTCAGCCACAATTCATTTACGAGTCCCCTTCTACCTCAAATCGGGAACACGACAAGTCTGTCGCAGCTAAATCTCGTCCAGTGCTTCCTTGTTGGTTCCATCCCTGCCGAGATTGGGCGCTTGACTAGTCCTACGGAATTACGCCTCAGCGACAATTCACTTTCGGGTCGAATCCCTGCCGAGATTGGGAATCTGCAACTTATGTTTGTCCTCACTGGAGGAGCTATATTTACAAGACTGTGGCCTCACCGACCTCCCCCTTCTCTTTCCCTTGTCAACCTCACGACGTTGACCACTCTCGATCTCAATGGCAACCTCTTCAACTCCACCTTCCCCAACTGGCTATGGAAACTCCACAACCTCTCTTATCTTGATCTCGGTTTTTCTATGTTTCATGGTGCCATACCCGCTGGGATTGGAAATTTGACTGGTCTAAGAGAACTTTATCTTGGTGATAATTCACTTTCAGGTCCCATACCCACTGAGATTGGAATTTGTAATAGTCTAAAACTTATCGATCTGCGTGATAATTCAATCTTTGGACCCATACCTGCTGGGATTGGGAATTTGACTGGTCTAAGAATGCTTTATCTTGATCATAATTCACTCTTTGGACCCATACCTGCTGAGATTGGGAATATGGCTGGTCTAAGAGAGCTTTATCTTGATCATAATTCACTCTTCGGAGTCATACCTGCTGGGATTGGGAAGTTGACTAGTCTAGGAGTGCTTTATCTTAATGATAATTCACTCTTTGGACCCATACCTGTTGGGATTGGGAATTTGACCGGTCTAGGAGAGCTTTATCTTAACGATAATTCACTTTCAGGTCCCGTACCCATTGAGATCGGCAAGCTTTCCAACCTCACCATTCTTTCTCTCTCTAGTAATTCCCTAGAGGGCACCATGTCTGAACTCCATTTCGCTAACTTAACCAAACTAAGTGAGCTTGATCTATTCGAAAACTCCCTAGTCATCTCAATAGACCACAATTGGGTTCCTCCTTTTCAACTCCGATCCATTAAACTGAGTTCTTGTAAGTTGGGTCCTGCGTTTCCAAGATGGCTCCGTTCACAAAACTCCATTAAATATTTGGATATGTCGAACACAAGCATCGAGGACGTCTTGCCTGATTGGTTTTGGAATAACTCTGCTTCTTTTATAAATCTCTCCCAAAATCAAATTAACGGCACTTTGCCAACTTCCTTGGTTTTGCTATCTTACTTGCGTTATTTGAATCTGGCTTGTAATTCTTTTTCAGGATCATTGCCATCGATCTTTCCCACACTAGAATTGAGAATCTTGGATCTCTCACGTAACCATATTAACGGGAGCATACCGTCCTTTATCTGCAACACTCGACGACTTGATATCCTCGATCTATCGAGCAACCAAATATCAGGTGAAATCCCTTCGTGTTGGCAGGAGACAAACTACTTTTCCTCCATTAATCTGGCAAATAATAAGCTTTCGGGAGAAATTCCCAGCTCTATTGAAAATTTGATTTGGCTTGAGTCTTTCCACTTAAACAATAATAAACTACATGGGCTTCTTCCATCATCATTGAAAAATTGCAGTGCACTAGTTTTTCTTGATCTTGGCAATAATAAATTCTCAGGTAGCATACCTACGTGGATTGCACAAAATTTTCTAGACCTAGAGGTACTCCGACTACGCTCAAATATGTTTTCCGGTAACATTCCTGCAGAGCTTGGGCAACTTGCTTATCTACATGTTATCGACCTTGCTAATAATAAATTATCAGGGCCAATTCCACACTCCTTTGGCAATTTAAATGCTGCAATGACTCGTTGGAAACAGCATTTGACTCGTCGAGACAAACAAGTATTTTATAGTCCCTTTGTAAAGGACCGCCCTGCTTTGTTGCCTTTTGACAAATATGAAGATAGCATCGCTCTAACTATAAAGGGAAGATATTATAATTTTTCAATTATTCTTTACCTTGTCAACATTATAGACCTTTCAAACAATAATTTGACCGGAGAAATCCCCATCGAAATTGGGTCTCTTTCAACACTCCAAACTTTAAATCTATCAAGAAACAATTTTGTCGGCCAAATTCCAGCGGCAATTGGTGCCATGAAATCATTGGAAACTCTGGATCTGTCATTCAATAAGTTATCCGGAGTCATTCCTCAAAGCTTTTCGGCGCTGAATTCTCTGAACCACTTGAATCTGTCTTACAACAATCTATCGGGAGCGATTCCATCGGGGAATCAACTTCGGACGCTGGAGGATGCATCCATTTATATCGGAAATGTCCAACTCTGTGGACCTCCGGTGACCAAGAGTTGCTCCGACGATCCCAACGTCGATTCGACAGAAGAGGAGTACGAACAAGGATCTCATGTGCTGTCATTTTACTTTGGTACCGGGCTCGGATATTTGGTCGGCTTATGGAGTGTGTTCGTGATCATGCTGTTCAAGAAAGATTGGAGGCTCTTCTATTTTGCAACGGTGGACAAGATGTACGACAGAGCTTATGTGGCAATCAAGATAAGAATGCGAAATTGCCATGACGCAGCTGATCGAATGTGATGCAAGTTTCTTTCGTGTTATAAGTGTGATCCATTTCATCTGTCAAAAAGGATCTCGTTTTGAAGATTATGAAATGTTAATCTCAAACTCTTTTTCTGTTCCGATGTAGGAGGCATCGAGAACAACTCGTCTGGTTTGGGAATCCTTCTTCTTCCATCATTGACCGCACAGATCTCTCTCGCATAAACAGGCACCATCGGAGACGACAAAACTGCACTGATTTAACATTGTTATCAGTTATCGCTACGAGTGGTTCCTTAGCCGAAGTGTGATATAAAGATCACCATTCTGCACAGATTCTTTTCATTGTCGTCGGTGATCACATGGTGTTCTTTATATTTCGCAACGTTGATCGTTGGGCGCTGTGATGCGCCATTCTTTTTAGGGTGTATGATCGCTGTCTGTTGTACGACGACGTCCTTGGCGATCCATTGCATGGTTCCTTTGGCATTTTGCAGTGACGATCTCACGGTTTGGATGTGGCTTCTCTCCTTTGCCATCACGAAATCAAGATTTACTCCACGTTTCGGAAATCCATCTTCCGATGCACCAAGTCGCATCGACGATTCGTATCGAGGTTTACTCGATAGACTGCAAGTAGAGTGAGCAGCCCAACCTACCATTGCGGTGCTTGCGAGAAAGGTAGCCGCCACGGGAGGGATCCCACCGAGGCTGAGGCGATGGGTAAAGACAGAGAATGGCCTTTATATAGTCTAAAATTACATATGAATTCGCAATTAAGAATGAAAGATGTGATGATGATGATGTTGAACATAAATTAAACTCACATCTCTTGCATCTAATTTTCAATTATCTTTTTTTCGAATTATTGAAGCAGCAAAGTAATAGCCCGGAAGATTGTGTGCAATGAACGGCAGGTCTAACAAGGCTTCGGAGTAGAGCCAGTGTGGAACCCAATCCGAGGAGGGCCATTAAATGGCCACGTCCTTCCAAGAACAGTATATTAGTTCGCAAATCTCTTTCAAGACCATCGGTCTTTGCTTTCTTGTTACATACGCGCGCAAGAACTAACAAAACCTATTCTTGGTTCTTGCACACTTTTGACGATCGGAGGATCTTCTACTTCCAAGTTATGGATAACATATATGACAAAGTTTATGTAGCAATCAAGATACGGATCGCTAGGTTGACGATGACTATCTCTACGCATAATGTTAAGTGCAATTTTGTAGAAAACGAAAGAGATAAAAAGAAATGCAGCCATTTCTTTCGCTCGTGTGGGAACAATTACCCACAAAATTCATCACAGAAATGGTGGGAAATCCTCATCATCTTCACCACTTGTGTGTCAAACGAATCAATTTGTTGCGTGACTTTGGGTTCCCAACAAAGATTTCCACACATGTGAAAGCGAAGCGTGCGTTCCGCTACAAACTTCGTTGAGTCTCCCTCTTTCGGAAGGACGCTACATGTAAAGCGATGGCTTACCGTGTTATATTGGGTGAGGAATCGTTTGCGGTGTGTCGGAGTCTTCATCCACGTTGTCTTCCGTGATGACGTTTGACGTGTGGTGGCGACATTCCGACCCGTGGAATAAGGTATGCATCGCCTCCATACATTTTATCTTGGCTGAGAAGATAATGCGTTCCGATGTGCGGACATCAGAATCAAACCGTGTGGAATGAGGGAGGCATGAATTAGTTTCCACACTATCGCATTCGGGCCGAATGAGACATTCTACGCAATCCAACAAGGCCAATTAAATGGCCGTATCTTTCAAGTTTAAAATCCAGTACCAATCTCTTTCGTTGTTGGGACCCAGGCGAGGTAGAAACCAAGTTTGAGTAAGCTACACGATGCACGCACTGCAGGTCCAGCAGGAGTCGAATCCCACTGAAGTCAAGTCTTTTTATCTGCCTATCGCTACCAGCGCATCAATCTTCACGTTTCACAGGAGTCTATGATGGGTTGGGGATGGGAGGGCCATCACGCCCGCACACCACCCACTCTATATATACATGTCCTCCACCGCCTACCATCTCTCAGTACACTATGCACTCACCAAATAGCATCATGGCCTCTTGCACCAAAATCACACACCCTGTGCCACGGCACTTCTCTTTCGGGCTTTGGCTTACGAGCATTCTTTTGTTCACGGCGGCAACAACGCCGACGACGAAGGGGTGCGTAGAGGGCGAGAGGGACGCCCTCCTCGACTTCAAAACCGGCATCGTCAAGGATCCTTCCAGCCGTTTGTCATCATGGCAAGGCCGAGTAGACTGCTGCAGATGGAGCGGGGTGGTCTGTGACAACGGCCATGTCGTGGAGCTCAACCTCCAGAATTCCGACCCTGATAACGATGAGATGTCTATCGGAGGTGAGATCAGACCATCCTTGCTCCTGCTAACTCATTTGGAGCGTCTCAACCTCAGCCACAATGACTTATCGACCGATGGCCTGCACTGGCTCTCGCGTCTCACTTCCTTGAGATACCTCGACATGAGCTTTGTGAACCTTTCCATGGCCTCCCACGATTGGCTTCAAGCGGTGAACATGTTGTCCTCACTAGAGGAGCTACATTTATCAGACTGTGGCCTCACCGACCTCCCCTCTTCTCTTTCCCATGTCAACCTCACAGCACTGGCCACTCTGGACATCAGTGACAACCTCTTCAACTCCACCATCCCCAACTGGCTATGGAAACTCCACAGACTCTCTTATCTTGATCTCAGTTTTTCTATGTTTCATGGTGCCATACCCGCTGGGATTGGAAATTTGGCCGATCTAAGAGAACTTCATCTTAGTGATAATTCACTTTCTGGTCCCATACCCACTGAGATTGGAAATTTGAATAGTCTAGAACTTATCAATCTCACGAATAATTTACTCTCTGGATCGTTACCTACTGAGATCGGCAAGCTTTGCAACCTCAATATTCTTTCTCTCTCTAGTAATTCCCTAGAGGGCACCGTGTCTGAACTCCATTTCGCTCGCTTAACCAAACTAAGTGAGCTCGATCTATCTGAAAACTCCCTAGTCATCTCAGTAGACTATAATTGGGTTCCCACTTTTCAACTCCAATCCATTCAACTGAAGTCTTGTAAGTTGGGGCCTGCATTTCCAAGATGGCTCCGTTCACAAAACTCCATTGAGGATTTGGATTTGTCGAACACAAGCATCGAGGACGTCTTGCCCGATTGGTTTTGGAATATTTCCGCTTTTTCTATAAATCTCTCCCAAAATCAGATTAATGGTACTTTGCCAACTTTCTTGGAGCAAATGACAAACCTAGCCACTCTGAAACTAAGTATGAATTTGCTTGAAGGCCCTATTCCTCGTTTGCCACCTTCCTTGAGTTATTTGTATCTGCAAAATAATTTCTTTTCGGGATCGTTGTCATCAATTTCTCTCCCACTAGAATTGGAACTGTTGGATCTCTCACATAACCATATCAATGGGAGCATACCATCATTTATCTGCAACTTGCCACAACTTCGCATCCTCGATCTATCGAGCAACCAAATATCAGGTGAAATCCCTTGGTGTTGGCAAGAGACAAACTTCCTTTTCTACATTAATCTAGCAGATAATAAGCTCTCGGGAGAAATTCCTAGCTCTATTGAAAAGTTGACTCAGCTTCGGTCTTTGCACTTAAACAATAATAGTCTACATGGGCATCTTCCGTTGTCATTGAAAAATTGCAGTGGACTGGTTTTTCTTGATCTTGGCGATAATAAATTCTCAGGTAGCATACCTACTTGGATTGCACAAAACTTTCAAAAACTAGAGGTACTCCGACTATGCTCAAATATGTTTTTTGGTAACATTCCTATAGAGCTCGGACAACTTCATCATCTACATATTATCGACCTTGCTAATAATAATTTATCAGGGCCAATTCCACGCTCCTTTGGCAATTTAAATGCAACAAAATCTTATAGGCAACGAAAATTGACTAGTATAACTTATAGAGCATTGACTGCGGGTCACCCTGTTTTGTCGAATTTTGATGGCACTTATGATGATAGCATCACTCTAACTATAAAGGGAAATAGTCTCATCTTTTCGATCATTGTTTACCTTGTCAATATTATAGACTTTTCAAATAATAATTTGACTGGAGAAATCCCAGAAGAAATTGGGTCTCTTTCGGCACTCCAAACTTTAAATCTATCAAGAAATAATCTTATCGGTCAAATACCAGCGACAATCGGTGGCATGAAATTATTGGAAACTCTGGACCTGTCATTTAATAAGTTATCCGGAGGCATTCCTCAAAACTTGGCAGACCTGTATTCTCTGAATCACTTGAATTTGTCTTACAACAATCTATCAGGAGTTATTCCTTCGGGAAATCAACTACAAACTCTCAATAACTCATTCATTTATATTGGCAATGCATATCTATGTGGAGCTCCCCTCACCAAGAGTTGTTACCATCTTAAAAGTAACAATGTGACAAAAGAAGACAACAAAGACGGATCCTTTATGCCATCATATTATCTGAGTATCATACTAGGATATTTGGTTGGATTATGGAGCGTGTTTATCATTATGCTGTTCAAGAAAAATTGGAGGGTTTTCTATTTTCAGATGTTTGATAAAATATATGATAGAGCTTATGTTGTCATCAAAATAAGAATCAATAGATTAACAACTGATTGAGGGTGAGGACGCCATCAAAAGTCAATGTAATAAGAGTATCTTGTGTGTTGTATCCATAATAAGTTTGAATCTTGCAAGATGACATGGTGTTAGAGATCATGTAATTGTTGCTTTTCAAACTCTCTCTCTCTTTTCTTTTTGGTTTCTAAATATTGTGTGTATTGTGACGATGGAAACGTAATTGTTGAATGTAATAATATTGTTGTGAAGAATGCATTGAATTATTATAATACAATATTTTTATAATATTATGTTATATATTTTGTATTTTTAATATGTTACAGTATATTATATTAATTTTAAACAAATATTAAATCTCGATCCACCGATTCAATCATTAATCCGATGACCTGAGACTTGGCCAACACCTATGCTGACAATAACGCCATAAAAATCCCACGGTATTATGCGCTTAATGTAAACAGTCATGCTTTCACGTCATGTGCTTATGGAAAAGGAAGACTGACCGAGTCAACGTTGGGGCATTCACACGTCCCGTCCATCAAAAAGTAGGAGATGAAGAAAGGATGGAGAAGTCACTTCGAGTCCGATCGCAGCAGCCGTGGAAGCTTCTTCGAAGGCAGGGCGGTGGGGGACTCGAACCGCTTGGCGACCGGAGTCAACTTCGACAAGGATCGGTGAGTCTATATGGCATTCCACAACTATCTTCATGGAAGCATACCGTCGTCCTACGTCTGCGATCTGCAGCAACTTTATGCCCTTGATCTATCCAACAATCAAATATCAGGAGAAATCCCGCGTTGCCGGCCGGAGGGATCACAACTTTTGTTTGTCAATCTGGCGAACAACAAGCTACGAGGAAAGATTCCTGACTCCATCGGAAACTTGGGCAACCTTCAGTTCCTTCACTTAAAC